CGGCTGCTGACCCGCAGGTCGCAGGTTCAAATCCCGGCTGTGGCGGCTGCATTTCCGATGGAGGCGGAAATGTTGTAGGCCCGTGTACTCAGATTTGGGTGCACGTTAAAGAACCCCAGGTGGTCAAAATTTCCGGAGCCCTCCACTACGGCGTCTCTCATAATCAAATGGTGGTTTTGGGACGTTAAACCCCACATATCAATCAAAGTGACCTACTGCAGCCCCATGCTGCACTTCTTCAACCGATCTCCATCCCCCTAAACCTTTCTACCGTGTTGGTATATATATACATCTTCTCGGTCCTTTTCCTGAGTCAAGCTCGAGCAACAAGTGGGTCACTGTTGCTATAGACTGTGTGACTAGGTATGCCATTACTGGAACTTTCACCACCAGCACCGCTTCTGACATGGCGGACTTTTTGCTCCCCAATGTCATCCTGCCCCTTGACGCTCCTTGCCAATTGCTCACAGATCGTGGCCTCGCATTTTTGCCACGAACAATCGACAATATTCTGCGCTCTTCCTCAACGCAGCACAAGTTGACCACTTCCTACCATCCCCAAACAAACCACCTCACCGAGCGCCTAAATCACACCCTCATGGACGTGCTTGCGATGTATGTGTCCTCCGACCACAATGAATGGGACCTGGCGCAACCTCACGTTACCTTCGCGTTCAATTCTTCGCGCCGTAACATCACTGGTTATTCGCCCTTTTATTTGCTCTATAGCCGTGATCCGACGTTACCACTCGACACCTTACTTCCAATCACTACAACGCCGTCAACCGAATAAGCACACGACGCTATTGCCCATGCCGACCACGCCCTTCAGATCACCTGTTCTAGACTTAAAGCTTCGCTAGCCACTCAGAAAGCTATCTACGACAGCCGTCATGTTGGCATTCGCTTCTAGCCCGGTTCTCTCATTCTCCTACGGTGCCCAGTTCGTCAAGTTGGCTTATCAAAAAAGTTGTCTCGCTCCATGGATAGTTATTGTATCATCCACCAGGTAACCGACGTCACCTATGAGGTCATTCCTGCAAATGAGACAAACCACCCTGTCAGAAACCACGCCCAGTGACGTTGTGCACGACAGCAGGCTCATACCCTACCGCATGCCTTCTTAAGATTGAACGTGAACCGAGACGGTGCTTTTACCACCAGTGGTTAATGCTACGTAGCTGACGTATCAGCGATCCGAAGATGACAACGAAGAAGTGGACTGGATAATCCGCCATGCGTGCTGTGCTCCGTCTTATTCGGTGTTGATGAACTCACCAATAGTCACGTCTCGTCTCATTTTACTTGACAATATCACGCTCCCAATACCCCTTTTCGCTAGTTTCACATATACCAAATTGGGTACTTTTGTAACGCGAACAGACAAGGAAAGTAAACGACACGTCCAAACATGATAATTAGGCTATGCGTGTCATGTGAAACATGACTAAATGTTACGTTCATAGCGTGCTTGCAGCCGTTTCGCTTGCTTCGCAGATATCAAATTTCGTATAGCGTAACGAGAATCGGTGACCAAGGTGAACGACATGTCCAAACACGATAATCATGGCATGGGTGTCAGGTAAAACATGACTGCAGGCTACGCTCACAGCGCGCTCGCGGCCACTTCATTACCTTCACGTATGCGAACTTTGGTATGAATGACGAAAGTTTGACTGGTGCAAACATGATAATTATGACAATCGTGTGATCTAGTAACGTGGCTACATGCTGCACTCATAATGCGCTCGCGGCCGCTTTACCAGCCTGACAAGTACCAAACTTGTTATAGCCCTACCAACCTCAGCCAAAAGGCGCTGCGCCGCACGCCTTTCGCCGCCTTTCTAGCAAATATCGCTCCCGCCTTCTGCCTGCGCTATCTCAGCACGATCAAGTGCTCTGCATGCCCTGTGGTCTGGTCGCCCTGCACGTGCAGCATCACCTGTGACTTGCTCCGAAGGTTTAAAAAGATTATAAAAAAGAACTCACGGTGTGAATCTTATCAGAACTGAGAGCAATTCATTGACAACCTTTGTGGGACAAAGCAAGTCAAACACGATGTTTTTGAGCGAGTGCTATGTAAATGTATGATGGCCAACAGCCACCTTTCTACAACATTAAAAGTGACGTGACAGCCTGAATTTTATATGAATGTTACCGGTGAAACGCGCAATTGCTGCGGCATTCGGGTCTCCTCAGAGCTGTCGGCAAACTACCACCACGCTTTTGCGTGCACTTGTGAATAGTGCATTAAAGTTCTTTGTCTGTAAATAAAGTTCTTTGTCAATAAAGTTCTTTGTCTGTCAATAAAGTTCTTTGTCTGTCTGTCTGTCTGTCTGTCTGTCTGTCTGTCTGTCTGTCTGTCTGTCTGTCTGTCTGTCTGTCTGTCTGTCTGTCTGTCTGTCTGTCTGTGAATAGCGTTCGGAATTCTATTGCTTGAATACCAAGTTTTTCAAGAGGCTTTCAATTTATTAGGAGGTCAGTGTGAAGAGGTTGAAATTTACGTCTGCCCTGTTCAGTCCCTGGCACCATTTCAATCCCTCGTGTTCAGTTTCATAAGAGTTTGCCGAGGTTTTCATCGGATATTAACAAGGTCGTACTGTAAGGTAATGACACCTTGGATTTTTTTTGCAGCTCCCTTGAAAGTATATTGATGCGCACAAAAAAGTATTCCATGTCCACTTTGACCATGCATGTTCCTTGCAGCCCCTGTTTCATTGTGGATAACATCCACGCCTGAACACGCAGCGTGTTCACTGATTCGTATGTTGATTTGGTTGTTTTGACAGTTTACTCGGTCGTCGTCCTGACACAATCATCACAAGAATTGAGCATTTTTTTTTATTTCCACCGAGATTTGCTTCTGATAACCACGTCAAATTTCGTGAAAGCATCAAAAATTTTGTACCTGCCTTGCCTTGGTTTTTCTTTCAATTCGATTTCATATATCGCCCTCGGCTCGGGCGCATGCAATGATATATTATTTTACGCAGCAAAACCATCATACTGTTACGTGAAGGCACATGCAAAACTAGGCGCTTGAGCATTGTCTCATAACAATATCATTAGGAGGCACGCTGTGGTTTGGGAGTTCAGATCAATTTCGGCGACATGAAGTATTTTTAAACGTGCGCCTAAATCTATTTGAAGCGTAAGGCGCGACGACAACTGAAATAGGGTGCACACACACCGACGGTCACTTCTGTTTACATTGGGCATCATACCAATGTACGATTGAAATACGTAACACGAACGCGCCCTGTCTGTCATTCTTGCACTAAAATCGGAGTGCACTGTTACTGCGTTTCGCTATGCAGCTGGTGTATGCGAGAATCGAAATCAATACTTCGGTCCTAGCATCGCAACACCTCCTCATGCTAACTTATCGGTGGGTGTTGCTTGCAAGAACTGTACGAATAAATGCTCAACGCGAACCCGCAGCACAAATCTGTTTACACTGAGCGGAGACGAGAAGTCTACACCCATAATCTGAATAAAGCACTTGCAGGGCTCTCAGCACGGTATTTTAACCCCAGTATTCTAGAACGTCCCTTCACTCAACGATTCACCTTCACTTGGAAAAACCGATGGGAGCGCTGTCTCTAGGCACGGCAAGTCGCTGCGTATCAGCGATAATCTCCTGCAATTCTTGAGTAGCACAGGGTCATTTTCAGCCGAGCGGTGGCGCAGTGCTCAACTCTGTCAAGGGAAGGGTGGAAGTCAAGTCGAGGAGCGTTTGTGAATACGGGGGTAAGTGTATTAGGCTAGCAAGCTCCCCCACTTTCGCACTACCAGTGGTTGTCTCGGAAAGCCAGAACCCAACCGCGAATTGTACAGTGGCTGCCTATTTGCTGTAGCTTCAATTTACAAACACGTTTTCATTTAACATGAGTCCGACTGTCACGTTTCTTTCAGTTATTTAATAGTTTGAAGTACTATGCATGACAAAAATGTTTTATAGTAACGTGACTGTGGAGTATTGGCGAACTGCCATAATTCTTTCTTGACGTCTTTGCTTCTGGCAATGCTTGCATTAGAAACGGTAGAACTTCACGGGCAGTTTTCAGGTCTGCGTCATGTTTTAACTTTTGTAGCAGCTCACAGTGCAGCAGTAGTGCGTGCCTGCTTTCCAGAATGACTGAGGAGCGCTGCCTATAGCGTGCAAAATGTGAGATAACCACCCCAAGAAACACATTTTCGTGTGCGCAAGTGGAAAACCCAGCAAGCGCGGCCCATCCGAGCGACTGGAGCTTTGCCCTCTTACCGCTACAGCGGTGAACAGCGCTGCGCAAAATTGCACCTATCTTCCCTATTACGTGACGCGCACGGACGATGAAGGTAAATGACACGTACAAACGTGATAATCATGACATGCGTGTCATGTAAACCATGACTACCTGCTACGCTCATATTGTGCTCGTGGCCATTTCGCGAGCTTCACATATAAATAGTTTCATGTAACGTGACCTAAATGAGCGAAAAACAGAAATGTCTGGCGCAAACAGGATCATCATAACATGAAAGTCATGTACGGCATAATATACATGCCTACCACTGCTGGTGCTGTTATTGCAAATGTTAGGGGTACTGTCGTTACGTGACTAGAAACAACATGCTTGCGTCTTTTCTAAAAACGTAAGTGCGCATAACATTTCTACCTGTGTTTACACTGTACTACGTCCGTCCACCTCGTAATGCTGTGCTGATTTTAAATTGACATATCAGCTTTCCTCATTCATGCTTCGCATATCATCGATTGCCACTGTTCGTGGGATCTACTTATTGTTTTGCATATTCAACACTTCCAACCACCACCACCGTGGAAAAAAAATCAGCGCATCATCGACAACAAAAAATCAGCAATGTAGGTTGTTGCTAACCACATAGATTTGTCGTATCCTAAAACCTCTTTAAGTTCACTTTGAAATAAGCCTGCATTGTCTCTTTCTTGAAAAGTGCACTATGATTTTCAAACACGTAATTGCAGCACCTAATTGCAGGTGAGCGATGTTGTCAGCCTCACGCGAAAGGAAACGCTGGCTCACATGGAGCGATATGCTATTGGCTTCCGGAACAATGGCGTGGCTCCAGGCGACCGCATCTGCATCCACCTAGAAAACGCAGTGGAAAACCTGGTAGCCATTTACGGCTGCATTTTGACTGGGGCAACCGTCGTCTTAGCGAAACCTTCGCTCACCGAAAGTGAGTAAACATGCTACTATTTACTTGTGTTACTATATAGTCAAGTATGTTAGCGAATAACACTGTCTCTTTAGGCAAAGTCGAGTGTTTAGAGTCATAAAAACTTGCAGCCTCATTTCTACACGTGAGACATGTATACATTACCAGGTCTTTATGAACTTTAGAACTATGGAACATTGTGGCTTATGTGTCAGAAATCATGCAATGAAGTGAAAAGACGTTCGTCAGTATCCTTACTGCGGCGACTAAACCTTATCAAGGACTCAATAGTTCTTTCATTTAACCTTACGTTGCAGAGAAACTTTGCCTATGTATTGTCCAAGTAAGTGTGAATATTTTATTGTGACTTTATGCAATAGCACAGTTATGGAAAACTTTGTGTGTACAGCTATTGCAACAGATTATTTTTCTAGCATTACAATCACAGTTGAGCGCAATATTGAGCTAAGTGCTGAAAGATTGCTCACTGATTATTTTTATTCCGTGAACAACTTTATAGCAATCAGATGGATACAGTACAAGGGTGACAAAACAACCGCGAGGGTTTTTGAAACGGTTTTCGACCCACTAAAGCTGTGCAATGGGCATTGCACTTCTTTTTCTCTGGTTTCTCTGTACTCATTTTTATGTAGCATTGTACCTGTTTTCTCTGGTTTTGATCCTGGCTGTCCGACGTGCGAGTCTGAGGCGAAGATCTCGTCTCCTTTTGCCTTGCATCGCGGAAATATTTCGTGTTATGTAACTCTGTCTGAAATTAACTAAGCTAGAACGAAACACTAGAAACAAAAGGGTTTTACACATAACCGAAAATGCGACTCACAATCAGTGCAGGTCATTAAAAGGTACCAAGCCAGATGAATACCCGCAAGAGTATTTCAATAAGCAGCGATATTAAGATGATAACTGGGTGAGCACGCATATCGCCTGAAAAAAAATAGATCGCCATGTGACTAACGTGCACTAAAAGTGTGCTCAATCAATGAAGTCTAGCCTTTGCATGATCAGTCAATAATGTGGATCATTTACTGCAAGTCACGCTTCGAGCATTCAGTACCCGTTTTAAATGCGAAGCATTTCTGAGCGAACTTCGGCGACTTTGAGCGTATCTATCTATCTATCTATCTATCTATCTATCTATCTATCTATCTATCTATCTATCTATCTATCTAAATATCTATCTATCTATCTATCTATCTATCTATCTATCTATCTAGAGTGATTCAACGAGAGATCGACACGGGTCCAAAAGTTGATATTTTAGATTTCATTGAGTATTTTATATTTCGTGCACCTCTCACCGAGTAGCCCGAAAGTCAACTTCGTTTTACAATTAACGGCTTAACTTACGAGAAAACAAATATCAAACTTCACCAACACAGGGGCACCAATTTCGTCACCTGTCATTTTCGAAAATTGCAGATTGTATAAAAAGACAAATATTTTTGTTTCAGGGAAGATATTTTATACCTGAAATGCATGTCTAATGAAGAATGAATTCATACGGTTTCAAGTTTGTGGACCTTAAGAAAATAGCTTTTAAAATGTCTAAATTTGCGACAGTTTAAAATAAGTTACGTATTTCTCTTTTTTTTTCTCCGAAAGTAATGCAAGCAGCGTTTTCAAACTTGACACGTTTTAAGGATTTAATGTGTTCATTAGGTACATAAATTACCGCTGCCGTAGGGCAAATGTAAATTTTTATATATTGCCTCAAAATTATCATATTGGCGAAAAAGTACTCTACTGAAATTTGAATAATAAAAAACCTCATCTTCGATTTTTCCTAAAATCTCGTAAATAGACAACCAAAGGCCATCATACAGTAATATAGAAAAACATGTTGCATTATTTTGTTTTTAGTGACAATATTTGTGGTACAAATCAGAGCTTATCGAGAATGCGCTGATAAGTTGAGAAATCTAGAAATCGGAACGGAAAAGCGGCAATAAGCTTCAAACGCGAGTAAACGTGACCGCATTTGGTGAAGAAAGGCTGTTTTAGCAGATAGGAGTAACTCTTTTGAACACGGTATTCTACAGTATCTGAATTCACTCTTATACGTAGAGCACTGAGATTTCTAATATGTGTAGCCTCTCCATTACTGACACACAGATGGAGCTGCTGTGAGGGCCACGTGTTTGCAACACGTTGGGTAAGAGAATTGAATGTTTAATGAGTTCATAAACGATTCATAACAAATTTTTATCATTTAGGGCACGAAGAATGCCGCATTAGACTGAAGAACACGCTTCAGGGCAAGTTGTCATCCGTCGTCTGCTCTACAGATGAATTGCTGTGCGCCGCACCAAGGAGGCAATGCTTTAGATCATATGGTTCGAAATAGGGACAAAGATTACGACTCCCGTAATTTTATCGACAAAACATTGTGAAATTCATTTTACATTTACTTTTACATATATACATTACCAGGTCTTTATGAACTTTACAAGCATGGAACATTGTGGCTTATCTGTCAGAAATCATGCAATGAAGCGGAAAGACGTTCGTCAGTATCATTACTGCGGCGACTAAACCTTATCCAGGACTCAATAGTTCTTTCGATCTTTGTGTCTACTTTGAACCATATGATCTAAAGCATTGCCTCCAAGATGCGGCGCACAGCAATTCATTTGTAGAGCAGACGAAGGATGACACCTTGCCCTAAAGCGCGTTCTTCAGTGTAATGCGGCAGTCTTCGTGCCCCAAATGATAAAAATTAGTTATGAATCGTTTATGAACTCATTCAACATTCAATTCTCTTACCCAACGTTTTGCAAGCACATGGCCGTCACAGCAGCTCCATCTGTGTGTCAGTAATGGAGATGCACCACATATTAGAAGTCTCAGTGCTCTACGTTTAAGAGTGCATTCAGATACTGTAGAATACCGTGTTCAGAATAGTTACTCCTATGTGCTAAAACAGCCTTTCTTCACCAAATGAGGTCTCGTTTACTCGCGTTTGAAGCTTATTGCCGGTTTTCCGTTCCGATTTCTAGATTTCTCAACTTATCAGCGCATTCTCGAAAAGCTCTGATTTGTACCACAAATATTGTCGCTAAAAACAAAGTAATGCAACATGTTTTTCTATATTACTGTATGATGGCCTTTGGTTGTCTATTTAAGATGTTTTAGGAAAAATCGAAGATGAAGTTTTTTTATTATTCAAATTTTAGTAGAGTACACTTTTGCCGTTATGAGAGTTTTGAGGCAATATATGAAAATTTACATTTGCCATACGGCAGCAATTTTTTATGTACCTAATGAACACACTATATCCTTAAAACGTTTCAAGTTTGAAAACGCTGCTTGCAAAACTTTCGGAGAAAAAAAAAGGGAAATACGTAAGTGTTTTTAAACTGTCGCAAATTTAGACATTTCTAAAAGCAATTTTTTTAAGGTCTACAAACTTGAAACCGTATGAATTCATTCTTAATTAGACATGCCTTTCAGGTAAAAAATATCTTCCTTGAAACAAAAATATTTGTATTTTTATAGCATCTGCAATTTTCGAAAATGACATGTGACGAAATTGGTGCCTCCATGTTGGTGAAGTTTGATTTTTTTTCTCGTAAGTTATGCCGTTAATCATAAAACGAAGTTGACTTTCGGGCTACCTGGTGAGAGGTCCACGAAATATAAAATACTCAATGAAATCTAAAATATCAACTTTTGAACCCGTGTCGATCTCTCGTGGAATCACCCTCTATCTATCTATCTATCTATCTATCTATCTATCTATCTATCTATCTATCTATCTATCTATCTATCTATCTATCTATCTATCTATCTATCTATCTATCTATCTATCTATCTATCTATCTATCTATCTATCTATCTATCTATTCGCCTACAACTTTTAGCTCTCCTGGCCGTTTCGATAATGATATAGATACCAAACTTGGTATGGCATAACATGACTGTATGAAGAACATATTTAACTAGTCACACAATGAAAATCATGAATTGTATGTCGTGAATATCGTGATTGAAATTTTATGATCCTGGAGCTCTAGCGGTAGTTTCGTTCACATTGTACGTTGCAAAACTGGTATGATATGACGTGATTCAATGCCGAACACAAGCGACAAACCCAAACATAAAAAACATGACATGCTTGTGATGTAACAACATGACTACGTTCCACGCTCATGATACGCTCGCAGCCGTTTTGCTAGCGTCACATAGACCAAATTTCGTATTACGGTATGTGAACGGATGACGAAGGTATGTGACTGGTGCAAACATGATAATCATAAGATGCGTGTCATGTAATAGCATGACTACATGCCACACTCATGATGCGCTGGCGGTAGTTTCACTAGCTTAACCTATACCAAATTTGGTATTTTGGGACATGAATGGATGACGAAGGTATGATACTGGGGCAAACAAGATATTGACGACATGCGTGTCATGCAACAACAAGACTACATGTCACACTCATGATGCGCTCACAGATGTTTCGCAAGCCCCCCATATGCTAAAGTGGTATTACGTGACATCAAGGATGACGAAGGTATGTGACTTATGCAAACATGATAATCATGGGATGCGTGTCATGTGAGAACACGACTACATGCCATAGTCAAGGCACCAATACATTTCGAAGTGATGTGGTGCGCGTGCTCGCCGGCGTTCATTTCGTCGCATCACACCGGTGTTGTCACGCCAGGCGCCAGTCCTGTCATATACTCGCAGGCGCGTGCCGCGCTGCGTTGCATTGACGTATGCACGTTTCAGCACGTCCGGCATCCCTCCATCACGAAAAGAGGGAGACGCAGTGTTGTGTGGGTACACGCATCGGAGCGAAACGCAGCATGTCGCATTAAGCGCCGGTTGCCGTCGGGCTGCGCCGATGGATTCAGGTCGCACCTAGCATCAGACTACAAGTGCTCGTCTTTTGCTAACGTAGCGTCGCTGTGCCCAGCGTACACGCGCGTCAGCGCTACATTGGTGTATATTGGTCCCTTCATGATGCGCTCGCGGCAGTTTTGCTAGCTCCACATATACCAACTATGGTGTTACAAGACGTCAATGGATGACGAAACATATGACTGGTGCAAACATGATAATCTTGACACGCTTGTCAAGTAGACCGTTACAACGTACCACGCTCACAGCGTGCTCACGGCCGTTTTGCTAGCTCCACATATACTAAATTTAGTATCACGTAACGTGAATTGATGGCGAAGATAATAGACACAATTAAACATGATATTCATGACACTGAAGTAATGTGCGGCATCATTTATCTCGACCGCGTAGGGTTGTGCTGATTTTAAAGTGACATATCAACATTTCTCATTCGTGCTTCGCATCTCATCTATCGCCACTGTACGTGAGATGTGCCAATTTTTTTTTCGCCTGTGATGTGTGAAGTTCTAATATTCGTTATGCCCAACCAATGTACTGAAAATCACTCCTTCACTTGAGAACCGCCATTGGAAGCTCACTGTTCAAAGCTTTTGTAAATCTGCCTTGATGAACAAATATCTTTATTCAGCAGCTACTGTAAAATGTTGGCATATTTTATTGTCACAAATATTGTCCTATTTTATAATAATGGCCTGCCAGTTTCAATATGAGCAAGTGTAGACTATTACTGGTTGTGTTTGATTGAGTGAGAGTGTACTGCAGCGAAACAGAAGCGTGCGAGGATATGAGCTTTTGGTTTCGCAGTGTTCCTGACTGGATGCTTTACCCTAAAGGGGCCCTGAAACTCTTTTTTGAGTAACCATGAAAATGATTCACTGGAAAAGCTTATAACCTCAAAATTTCATCGCCGCAAACCTACAAAGAATTCGTCCAGTACGAGCGCAGTTAGAAAGATTTGTCACACGCTGCAATCACATTTTCTCTTTTCTCGTCCCGGCGAAAGCGCTGGAAGCTAAGCAAGGAGAGATGAGAGAAGCAAAGAAAAAACGTCACGCGCGCCTCGTAACCTTGAGCACTTTTTCTTTTTTTTTTTCTTGAATACGTGGCTTTTTCAGTGCGATCGCACGCGCACGCATGGACAAGTGACGGTTTCTCGCGGCGATCTCTGTAATGACCGAGTGCGGCAAGTTCAAATCAGCGAATGGCTGATAGATTGGCATTCTATGTTTGATTTTTGAGCCTGTTCTGTCATTTGTCGAGTGAAAAGAAAGCAATTTTCAACTCACTTTGATATTCTATTGTGAATTCCAGGCCGCATGCCGCGCTATAACATTTAGCTCGTGTGGTTTCAGGAGCCTCTACTACCAATCTGCAGAGTTTTGTGATCATGCTCGAAAACTGTTGCAGGACCCCTCTAAGCTACAAGTATCTGCACCAAATACTTTTGCTGTCTGCTCAGATGCTGTTAATAAAGTTGTGCTGCATATACGCATATTTTGTTTCTGTGCACATTGTCATACATCACCACTTCTTTTTTGTTGTCTCTGCCCCTTTCCCCCTGGGTAAGTGCCATCTAAGAGCAAACTAGCTCAGACTGACTTCTCTGCCTTCTAATAAATCATCTCTGTCTTTTTCTCCTTGCCAGCACACTAGGTTGGTGGGTATGTTTTTTTTTTAACAGAAGCGCAAACTTAGGACCGAAAACGAACTGACGTCACGCGCAAGCCAGTGATGGTGTTATCTGTAATTTCGTTCGTTTTTATTGGCTAAATGTGTCTATAGTGGAGTGCATAAAATGGCTCGGTTGGCTAAAATACAACAGTGGTGAGAGGGGCAACGCAGGCAAACATCAGAACAAGAGCAGCAATTAAGGCAAGATAAACGCCGGCACTTTGTATTCTTGATCTCACCCGCGCCAACAAGCTTACATTTCAACTTTCTTTCATAAAACGGCTTCTGAAGAGTATTTCGTTGCCTGCCACGACGCATGACTGGCATGCTACAGTACGCAACTTCAGGCTCTCAGATAGGCGTGTTTCGCAAGAATGAAAAAAGCTTCGCTGGCACAGCCACCTACAACGGGGCAATACATGTTATTCTTGTCAACAAATGTGGTGGCTTGCAAGGAATTAGGAAATATTCAGAGAGCGAAGACATGTGAAGTGCATTGGATTATCAATGGTATAAACAACTAAGTTTCTCGGCAACGTGAGCTCAGCCCTCTGATATGGGTCCCGTTCAAAACGTATACATACTTTGTCTAAGCAACTTACTTAGAGAAGGCTACCATGGCTTCAGGCGCACATTTTTCTTATAGACTCAATTAGTTCAAACTCACAAATCTTGCACAGTCGACTATTCAGAGAAAGCAGAGTGGTCCCGTATTCCGGGAATTCTGCAAGCATTTGATGAAGTGTCAGATAATTATTAAGTTGGTATATTAGGTTAAAACTCAATCTAACGAAACCAATTATTGCGTATTATCTGAACTGCTTGAGTAATGACGTTTCCCCGCATGTAGCCATATAGTCCAATGAACAAATTGAACGCATGCTTTACAGCACCACACCTCATCAACATCATCATCATTTATTGTCCCTTGAGGGCCCTGGGTTGGGCATTACATAAGGGGGGGGGGAGCATCGAAATATGCATACAAGGTCACATTTACAAAGAAAAAAGGCATGTTAGCTCTGTGCATTGCTACGAAACTGAAAATAAAAACAAAAATGACACATGCTACGCATTTCCGCATGCGTTCGCAAAGTATTTGCATTGCGGTTCAACATGCACAAAACAAAGGAAAAAAAAGAAAACTAATAAGAAACAAATAAACAAACAAACATCATAGTACGTGTTTACAAAATGATAGATGGACTGATTTTGCAAGCAGAATCTACAATAAGGAGTGGTTTCGTTATACATTGTTACGGAGTCGAGGACAGTGGTATTATATAACTTTAGCGGTACAATATTTACGAAAGAATAAAGAATAAAAAAGGTACAGTACAAAATATTTAATATACACTTAGAAGAAGCAGCAGCTTAAAAGTAAGCTTCCACTTTCTTGTGTGAGTCGGTGGAGTACAGGTGTCTGTTGCTCTGCTCAATTTCAGTGTGACCTTCATTCGACTTTGATGTTTCACGTCACTGTGAAGCGCATCGTTCCGGAAATCTTGATTGCAAGATTGTTCAGTGATTGCAAATATTAGTCAGGGCAACAATGATTATTAAAAAAATTAAAAATGTTTGCTTTTGCACTAACACTTCCGTAATTTTACATGACACTAATAAAATTGCTGCTTTGACACATCTTTTTTTTGCAGATGAGCTGCGCTACCAGTGTGAAGATAGTGAGAGTACGCATATTCTCACTGAACAGAAGTACGCCGAAAAAGTGGTCAGAACAGCGGCGGCACTCAGCATGAAGGTAAATAACGGAAAAAAGACCTTTCTCGGTCTAATTGTTGGATAAACAGTAGGCTAACAGAACGTTAAGGCTGGAAGTTTCTTTCCAGTGAAAGCAAGAAGTCTTAAGTATTGCTTCTTGTTTGGCCTGAGTATCATTGAAACTTTTAGGAAGGAAAAACCGCGTGTCACTATTTTTGGCAAGGCGGTGTATACAAATGTTTTCAAAAATACGCGTATGCTCTTTGTTCAAATCATTATGATTTCTTCGTACAGTTGTGGAAGGCGCAATTTGATATAATTAAGGAACCGAACATGTGTATTAAATAGAGATATTCGATATAAGTGGCCACTAAATATTCAACAAAAATCAGAAGTTGATCTCGCACTTTTATTCCAGCTCTGATACTCTGCAGCTCTGAATGTTGATTGCAGTCATGGTATTCTGGTGATGTTGGATTTCCTCGCAATTCCTACATGTTTTGTCGTCTTTCAAGAAGAGGTGTGATTGCGGTGGACGCTTACCCCAGTGTGCACTGAAGTTTTTTTTCGTTCGGTACACATAAGCAGAAAATTCTGATGTCTCAATACTCCTTGAAGCACCGCCATGGCTCAGTGGTAAAATACTTGGCTGCCACGCAGGGCACCCAGGTTCGAATCAACAGACAGTTTGGCAGAATACTTTGTTCGGAGAAGCAGAAGGAAGAAAGTTAAAAAATACATTACTAAATTAAGCGGATGCAGTAATCACTAAAGCAATAAATTCGTAAGGGTGCGTTATAATAGTAAGGTCTATTTTTATGCCAATAATTTAATGAAGTCTTCAAATGGCAGTCCATTCAATAACATTTGTGGACAACAATGAGCAAACAAGGAGCTTTGAGGGCACTCCAATGGTTTTCCCCACGAGAGTAGTTCAAGCGCAGTGAAATGTTATGCAAAAGAGAGCAATTACAATAAATAATCTTCATTTATCTGTTTGTGTTCCTATACAGACTACCCCACTCAAACTTGAATTTTTCTCAAAAGAAACAAAAAAAATTGGCGCACACAAGAACAAAGAAGGTAGAGGCGAGTACCATTAACGCTAAGACAATAACTGTTAAAATTCGGAAGATTGAACAGAGCATTGAAATCGTCAAAATGTTTATTGTCATGAGCCTGATTATGCCCGCTGTAAGGCCTCTGCCGTCTTGTGCCAGTCAACCCGATCTTTTGCTCTCTGCTGGTCCGTTGTACCCGCATACTTCTTATTCTCTTTGGCTCACCCAACTTTCTGTACACCCTGAGGCGTTTGCCGTCTCTGAGAATTCGGTCAGTTCCCCTAATGACAGCGGTTATTCTTCCTACATGCTACATGCCTAGTCAATGTGTATTTCATCTCCTTGACTTCAGCTGTGATATTCTAAACACTATTTTCGCATATACACCACATGTACTTTGCAAATAGTTTGGAACAAGACAAGCAATTGGGAACACTTTTTCTCATTGCCCCCGTTGTCGAAAATTATGCCAAGCAGATTTACACCACCTCTTTTGGGTTGGTTGTGCTTTCTCGCGAGGGCAAACTCTCACAAATAAAGTGTTTGTTCCTGATTTTCCACATTGCCTAGAAAACTTAGGAATATTTATTTAAAAGTGGCATGTTTAACGTTACTTTGAAAGACACTGTTAAAGATTCCATTACTTTTTACGGTAAATTAAGAGGGCACAGGAAAAATACATTTACATTAACAATTATGAAAGACTTGACCTGGCGTGCTTATTAAATATCAATTTTTGTATGACAACTGTAGAATTAGAGCGGATACAACTTTGGCACTTGAATTTGACCCAATATACGCTCGTCATAGGAGAATTGCTTTAATCTCAGGCATGCTAATGGTTATCAACAAGGAGGCATAATTTTATCACAGCGACCGTCTCCTCTTCCCTTTGGGGAAATAAAAAAGATAAAATGCTCCACAGTTCATGAAAAAATGAAAACGATGAAGTCAATTGGGCATTAAAGCTTAGAAAGAGACCGTTCTCAGAACGCAATACAAGCGGTTTCCATCGCCATGTATATTGAAACTCCTTCATGCTATAATTTTTTGCAACAGCAACGTTATAGGCGTCAAGGCAAAAGTAATGCCCCCCTCCTCCTTTTGCATACATGTGCCTTGAAAGGTTGCAAACAATAAAATATACAACTTAATACCATGCACCTATTTCCCGTATTGTTTACGTAAAACCCATGAACCTTTTTGCACATTGCGCGGTTTAAAAATGTCTTTCATGCTTGACCTCTGTAAACTTCTCTTCACCAGGGTCTTTTCTGCATGGGTCCTGCCCCAGGGTTTATATCGACATCGGAATTCTTAAATTTCCACGAGCGAGACTACTTGGAAGTGCCCGTTGAAAAGCCTCGTGACACAGTGCTCGCCCTGATTTACACATCAGGAAGCACTGGCTTGCCGAAGGGGACAGAGATCACGCATTACAACTACGTGGCCGCCTTTTACTGTACAACGTAAGAAATGCCTCGTTGTATATTGACAATAACCACGTCTGTATGCATCCATACAGTGGCGCAGTACGTAAAGTACCTGTGTAAAATAGTGTTTCACCCGGAGAAAGCAGTAGTATTTATGTAAGAAATGCAGCGGAAGAAGGCGAAGTCTTAATCTGTCTTACAGGGATGCTCACACAGTGGCAAGGTGAAATCACTGCCGGCCAATAAAGGACACAATGTGCGTTGCGTTTCCCTGTAGTTAGACAGTGCCGTTTATTATCACGCTGCGAGTAGATTACCTCACCTCAGCCCAAGTATGGCATACAACGAGTTGCGCTCTTTTGGCTGTCACATCGATGTTATATATGCTGCCTTCCCTATTGACAGCAGTAGCTAGAATGGGCATACAAGACCACAGGAAATGTTTCATGTATTAACTAGTGAATTGTCATGTACGTTAGTCATCGGGATGGAGAGGTATGACTAATCGTCAACGTGGATGCCTTTAGAATAAACTGTGCTTTAGCTGTTGAATACGAACATTGTGTAAGCTTACTTAAATTGGGGTAGAATAAACATTTGCCTACTTCTATGACGAGACGTTTTACTTTCGTGTTATACGGATTCCTATGACGGAAAGATGAAGAAGATTTTGTTTCTTCTTCCTCCGTTAGTGTGTTATGCAATAAACAACGTTTTAAGCATATAAAAGTGTGTAACAATAGTAGGTAAATGTAAAATTTATAAAATGGAAGAGGAATTAGTATATAAATACAGCGAAAACGAAAATGATAATGCTGTGCTGATAGATTCTTCAAACGATGGAGGGTATATATATATATATATATATATATATATATATATATATAGTGGGAGTAATAATTCAATGGGCCAGTTAGTCTTCGTGAAGGTATGGGATATGGCACAACGGGAGCGTTGTCAACAAGGATAAATATATTTATTTCTCAACAGTTTCGGGAGGGGTCCTCCCTTCATCAGGGGATGAGTTATACTGACATGAGCTTCCAAACTTCGTTGCTGCCGCGTCCCTCTCGCCTTGAAACACGTTTGCGAGAGTGAGAGGGAACTAGAAAAAGGAAAAAAAAAACAAAAAAGGGGGAGAAAAAAGACGAAAAAAAGAAAGAAAAGAAAGAAAGTGAAAAAGAGGAAGAACCACTGTCAACACTGAGAACGAAGCCAACTGTCCGTCTGTAGACGGACAGTTGTCCGTCTACAGACGGACAGTTGTGTGTGTGTGTGTGTGTGTGTGTGTGTGTGTGCGTGCGTGCGTGCGTGCGTGTGTGTGTGTGTGCGTGTGTGTGTGTGCGCGCGTGTGTGTGTGTGTGTGTGTGTGTTTGTGTGTGTGTGTGTGTGTGTGTGTGTGTGTGTGTGTGTGTGTGTGTGTGTGTGTGTGTGTGTGTGTGTGTGTGTGTGTGTGAAACTGAAAATGAAGCCAATCTGAAAAAGTAGCTTAAAATAATACTACCAAAAAACAAAAATGTGTGCTGAGCAAGCGGTCAAACCATCTTTTGTTTTTGAAAGACATAACTACGAAATATAAACTAGAGATCTGAAAAGGTAGTGGTTCACTAGCATGGTAATCTTTTAGTTGCGTTGATGTAATCAAACACAGCGGAGCATACATCCCTGTGGCAGTAACCAAATGAAGTTCCGCCAAGTGATAAAATTACTGGTAAATTTACTTGTATTCCTAGCTTTTGTAATGGAGCTACTAAAATCTTTTTCTCTGATAAGAATAACGATGACAGAATAAAAAGAAATGTTCAATTGTTTCAATTTCGTTGCACCAAATGCATAGCGGTGACGCCTTGAGCTGAGCTTTATTAAGGTAATAATTTAGTTGTGGAACTGCACAGCGCAATCTGGTATAAGTGACCTCTAACTGGCGAGATACTGTTTATTCCAGCAATAGCTCAAATGCTCTAAATCTTTGAATTTATCCAAATTACCTTTTCCCCATTGCAAGCAAGCATTTCAAAACCTTAACGCGGTTACGTAAGCCGTATCTGGCAAAACTGGGATAGTGGGCCCACCCAGGGATACTGCTGCTAAAGAGTCCGCCATTTCGTTCAAATATAATCCGCGGTGGCCTGGTACCCATAGCAAATGCAGTTTTTTTACGTTTTTTGGTACTAAATGCCGAAACGTATTCATCAGCTCTGAATTTACTGCCGCAAAAAGTGCATTACAAACTGATAACGAATCTGTAATGATAACTGCTAATGACTCGCTTGAGGGTAATTTGCGTAGGGCAAGAACAATGGCCAATAATTCTGCCATGAATACCGGGGTATAATCTGGGAGTCGAATCGAAAAGGAACTGTCCAAAGAAGGAGAGAAGATGCCAACCCCAGCCTTTTCTTTTGACGCAGATGCATCAGTCGCTATGATATTGCTTATCTCTAGGTGGGCTAGATAATCTGCTAACTGGTCATATAAATACCTATATGCCAATTGTTTCGCGTTATGAGGAACTATATCATCGAATTGTATGCTAAGCATTGACTTTAGGTTGTGTATTGGACCAATATGTCTAATTTTTACATTCAGTTGCTTTAGTAGCGCTTGTGCAAATACAATTTGCGGGGTGTGTAGTCGCGACCAATGGGTTTCGAAAAATAAAGTCGGTTCTTGAATGAAAGCGTAAAATGAGAGTCTTTGGTGTGAACTGTATATCTTTAAGAATGCTTGCACAGTAAGAATTTTAAACCTATTTAGCAGAGAAGGTAGGCGAGCTTCCATATACAACACGTTATTTGCAACAAACTTTGGTAGACCCAGACACAAATGCAACGCTTCTCTTTCCAGCAGTATTAGGGGTCTCATTTTATAGGCTGCCCTGCCAGAAAATAATACACATCCGAATTCCATGATGGGCCGCACATAAAGTTTATATATCATTATTAGCATATCTCTTCTTAAACCCGCTTTACGGTTTGCAAGCTTCCGAAGCCACCCCATGGCCCGTGTTGCCTTGGAGTACACATCATCAATGTGACTTCTCCAATTTAATGTGTCATTATATATGATGCCCAAATATTTAAGGGAATTCGCCTGCGGAATAAGCTCATTACTGTACATTAACGAGATGTTGATAGGCTGCAGAAAAGAGAATGCAAGGAGCACACTTTTCTTTACGTTCAGGGTCATATGAATATTTTTAAGCCATCTTTCTATCATATTTAGATAATTTTGTAGACTCTGGTATAATGATTGAAGGTTGGTATTACTTGCGAAGAAAGCAATATCGTCCGCGTACACATATAACTGAATATCCTTAGTTGATGGAATGGAGCTTAAGAAAATGTTAAATAAAACTGGCGACAGGACAGCCCCCTATGGTACGCCACGTGTCTGCTTATATCTATTCGATAAGTACCCATCTTTAAAGCAGTAATATTCTCTCCCTCTTAAAAACTCCGACACCCACGCAGTGATGTAGTTGGGAAAGTGGTGATATTCCATCTGTTTAATAAAATTGAATGCTCAACCCTATCGTACGCTTTACCCAAATCTAAAGTAACTAAAGCACAGTATTGGCGCCGACGCCGAGCCAGTTGTATTCGGCTCTCCAAATCAACATGCGCACACCATATTGAGCAACCTGGTCTAAAACCAATTTGACTGGGGTTTAATATTACGTTATTATTAATATATTTCATTACCCAGGCATTCAAAACTCTTTCAATTAGCTTAACCAGATTTGACGTGATTGATATTGGCCTTACATTGTCCAAGGCGAATCCTTTTTCCTGCTTTTTAAGAAGTGGAATCACTTTAGACAGCTTCCATTCCGCAGGTATCCAAGCTTTTGTCAAAGAAAAATTCACCAGATTAAGTATTTCAGTTGGACAAATCTCGAATATTACTTTTATCATTGAATTTGTTACCCCGTCTGGTCCAGGTGCCGAAGGAGATAAGTGCCTTATTACCTCTGCCAGCTCATCTAAAGTAACCTCCTCGAAATCCTCGCCTGCCATTGGGTTCACAATGTGCAGTGGTAGAGTTGACATAAATCTATCTTGGAGCCCTTTCGCAATATTCTCTACTAAATCAGAGAGCTCACGTGGGGAAAGAACAGAAGAGTCAATATTTTCAGCGGGTGGTAACATCTTTTGAGATCTTAAAAATCTGAAGAGCACTTTTTTGTTTTTAGCCCGAGAAAGATACTCATGTCGTTTCATATTATAACCATCTTTTGCTGTACTTACTGTGCGTTTGAAGTCTGCTGCTGCGAATTTATCATCACACCAATTTCTTGGACATTGGTTGACCAGCAGTTGTTTCCATGCAGCTTTCCGTTTTCTATAGCTCCTCGTGCACTCTTCAGTCCACCGTGGACTAAAAGAACCTCTTGTGGCCGAGTTTAATTTAAACGTTGCGTCTTTTACTGATCTTTTTAACACTGCACACAGACTCATAACCCTAAGGTCACCTTGTATGCCCTTGCGGTGATCAAAAGTAGCCCTCAAGTCTTTTTCTAATTTTCTATAGTTGAGGAATGAGCGGGCCTTTTCGGCGACATGTATTCTTGGAAAGCTCAGTACAAAACTAATAGGCAAGTGGTCACTGTTAGTAGCACAGTCTAAAGTTTGCCACGAACATATATTTAGAGATGAGCTTGAAAATGTCAAGTCAATTACAGATTTAGAGAGACCTCGGGCAAAAGTAGCAGATTGCGAATTTAAACAAGATAAATTCTTGTCAATAGCCCATTCCCACAATCGTTTTCCGCTTAAATCTGTTTTAAAACCCCAGGCCACATGATGTGAATTGAAGTCTCCAGTGATTAATATATCCTTTCTGCAGGCAGAGAACATATCGTCTAGACTTTGTGTGTCTTGCACCCCGGCTGGGAAATACGCATTTACAAACGACAAGGGAGAAGCGTCTGGTAATATTATGTCTACTATCAAAATTTCACAATCTGGAGTCACACAACGATAAGAGATCGTAGCTTTGTGACTAAACTTAGTTGCTATCAAGACAGCAAGCCC